GGGGGGGGGGGTGTCTCATTCCCATTGTCCCCACAGAGCTGCCCCCCAAGAAGCGCAAACTGGGAAAGAATCCGGATGTGGACACCAGCTTCCTGCCGGATCGGGACCGCGAGGTACTGCCCTGCCCCCCCCCCCAGACTGTGAGGTACGTGCTCCCCTTCCCCCCCCGGGACCACAAGGTACTGCCCTGCCCCCCCTCAGACCTTGAGGTACAGCCCCCTCCCTGCTCCCCCGCCGGGACCATGAGGTGAACATCATAGACTGACATCAACCCCCCCTTCCCCAGCCGGGACCCCAGGGTAACCCGGGAGTCAGGCCCTCCCCGACTGAGCTGTGTGTCTCCCCCCCCCCCAGGAGGAGGAGAACCGCCTGCGCGAGGAGCTGCGCCAGGAGTGGGAGGCCAAGCAGGAGAAGATCAAGAGTACGTGGCCAGGGGAACTGCCTGCCACTGGGTCCTGGGGGGATGCCGGCGGCTGGGCCTGGTGGGGAGATGGGACGGGAGGGGGAGTTGGAGCCATTAGCAGGTTCGGGGGAGCGGAGGGAGGAGGAGGATTCCAGCTGACAGTAGGCATTGGGGGGTGGGGGAGGTTGTAGCTGAGGGGGTTGGATGGGATTGGGGGGGGGTGTTAGGGGCAGGTGGGGAGGCAGGACTGTCCCCTCCCCGCATTGACCCATGCCTTCCTCCCCCCCAGGCGAGGAGATTGAAATCACCTTCAGCTACTGGGATGGCTCCGGCCACCGGCGCACGGTCAAGGTGAGTGGGGGGGGGTGGGGCGCGCAGCGCAGAGGAGCCGTGACTGGGGCGGGCAGAGGAGCTGTCCCAGCCCTGTGGGGGAGAAGGATCGGGGGGGAGAGACATCCCAGCCCTAACCTCCCCCATCCCCCCAGATGAAGAAGGGGAACACCATGCAGCAGTTCCTGCAGAAAGCCCTCGAGATCCTGCGCAAGGACTTCAGCGAGCTCAGGTGGGGGCCGGCTGGGGGGCAGGGCAGTGGGTGACAGGGAGGGAGTGTGTCGGGGGGGGGGGGGGC